TGGGAACATATACTAGTAAAAAAGAAGTTGATAATACATGGGAAGATGTGCGTAATCCAGTTCCAGTAAATTATTGGTATTAAGGATGATAATAATGATAATGATAGTAGTGATGTAGTGCTGGTTATTGTGATAGCATTCAGCAATAGCATTATCAGTTGCACAATTGTAGATGTCAATAATTAACAGTGTTACATAAAAGTTCTGAACTTTTGAAGCACTTTACTCTATCATATTAGTACTGATCATAATATGTAATGATAAGATGCTGTTTCTCATTTTGTTTTATCTAGCCGACTTATCTGTCCATTCATCCATGGCCTATTGATATCCGTGGTCCACTTTCCAACGATCTACTAATATATCAATATATGATCCAGTAGCTAATTTAGCCATTCATTCACATGCTTTAATATCAGTCGATCGTGGTCCTTATCATATCTGTTGGCAGTGTGGGAATGTCTGCAAGCTTTATTCCAATTCCATTTTTTTCGCAAGAAATTTCAAGTCAATGCACAGTTACTAGCTCTTTATGCCATGATTTAGTTTCTTTTTACTTGACAGGGTTTGCATTTTTAAAACCATTAGACAGGATCCGCCTGCTCGTATTCGCGTTTTCTTTCCCAGTTTTCAGCCAGGGTAGTAACTCGAGACAAATTTCAACGCCGGTAATATTCTTTACTGATTGCTTTCACCGCTGCCTCTATGGTAACAATATAGAGAAGTGTTGTCACCTGTGCACAACACACATAGCGTGCAAATTATAGTAACTACACTTCGAGAAGTATATTAAAGTAGGATAGATTGAAATTTTTTAATTTTGCCAGCGTAACGGCTAAAATAGATGTTTGCAAAAGCTGTTAGCTTCGTTGACAGCTTTGATACGTGCTTATTGTTTAAGAGTTTATTAATGTAAACGCGGGTGTAGATGCTAGTTTCTTCATCGGTTACAGAATTGAAACTTATGAAAAGTGGAAATTTGAAGTACTCTATTTTTTACTTGTATACAAGTACACGACACATGTGTAAAATTAACCTATAATATAGAAACTATTCACGCAATAATTCACAGAAATCATTTTTAGTTCAGGAATCTCAAATTTAAAAAAAGTCAGTACGGTATCTTATCCTCTAAAATTTTGTCTTCTACCAAATGTTATATGATTAATCATCTGACGCATTGTTTTCCTTTTTTCTGCTAAGCAAGTTATACACGTTTTATCACGTAAATTCCCCTTTAATGACCTTAAACTGCAACATTCCATTTTCCCGCTATCCTTGAATTTTTGTTATGATTTTGTTTGTAAGAGGATTTTCAAAAATTTTATCCTTATTAGTCCGCAATTTGGTGATGAAGATTTGTTTAGAATTTTCTAGAATTTCACTTTCTTTCGCAGTTTATTCTCTTCCTTGGTCTTGATAGCTTCAGTTTCTCTTTTTGCACGTTCTCGTAACAATGCCTTATCCTTTTTGCATGCAACTGATCTTTGGTCCCTCCAGAGTTCTCTTACATTGCATTCTCGGATGCGCAATATTTTCATTCCTGATTTCATCGATTTCTTATCATTGCATGCTTCTTTTTGCGAATTCTCCTTGGATTCTTGTGTTCCAACCGTTTTCTCCCACCATTTCAGCTGTGGATGTGCAGTTCATACTGTAGTAACAAAGAGAGATGCATATGTCAATGAGATCAGGATTGTCGTGAGAATATCGTGTACAGACAGCTTTACGTTTCGCCTCAAGTTTTGGAAGTGGAGTCTTCCAAACCTATATTAATTAATCACTTAGCTGGATTAATTTTCATAGATCTCCTGAACAGCTGATTCACTTTCGGCAATTAAACTGGTCTCGATAAAATTTCAGTTCTCTTTGTTGACTGAACATAAACCTCAGAACCTTCCAAATTTTCTTCCTTGACCTATTAAATTTGGGTATTCATTTGAAGTTTTTTTCAATTTTCCATTAATTATGAACTAGAAAATCGATATATTAATGTACTTTCTATTACAAATGGTCGCATCAACTATATCAACTAACGATTACTTCGATTTTTCTTTTTGTTTTGGAAATTTGGAATGTTAATTAAATTTCTAAATTTCAGTTCGTTTTTTATCTCATTAAAATACAGATTCCCATAGCAGATTAAACACAATCATGCATCCGAGAAGGTAATTTATTTTTTCCTAAGAATTCCAACTTGATTTGCAATTCTGAAATTAGTTACATTCAATTTTGATTTTTTACAGTTCTATCAGCTCGGAACACGGTTAATTGAAAAAACAATTTTTAATTTATGACCTCTCTGTTGATATGAATAAAGAATTTTGCATTATTTTGATTCTCCTTTCATACCAATGAAGGAAAAAAGAGAGAGGTGAAGCGATTTAAATTATTTTGAAGCTCCAAGCTTATCTATCAGTTTTAGTTATTGTGTACTTTTTTATTGTTTGTTTTAACTGGAACTATTGTGTTTTGTGTCGAATCTTTACCGTTGTTTAGGATAGCGAAGCGAATAAGTGCAAAGTCAAGAACCAGAGGAATTTCAAAAAGACTTCATGGAACTGCGGGTTTTGCACGCTTTAGACAACCTGAAATTCCTAAAAATTGGAAATTCGAAACACAAAGTTTCTGCATTATCCTACAGTTTATTACTGATTGTTTAGCGTGTATCTTGGTTGAAAATTGCTTCAAAAAAATGTCTTCCCAATTTCCCTTCTCTGCCTTTCTCATGCTTCATTTCGTGCCAAATTGGTTGATGTGAAGAAATTATTTTAAGAGTTACGAGAAACAATACATACGTCAGTTTCGCACTGCCATTACGATGATCAATTCAGACGTGAAAGACTCAGAAATGCTGTTTTTGAGGCGCTAAGTGGACAGAAAACAATGAAAGGAGCTGCTACTGCACATAACGTAATTATTATGCCAATTAAACACAAGTAAAATCTTGAAGCTTTAAGAAGACTTAGCATCTTCACTAGAAACTATACCGGATTTGAAGTTGCACGTGAAATTTAATCTATAAAATTTTATCCTACTCTTTATTTTTTCCTTCGGGCATGAATTTTTCAACTACATCATACTGTAGTCTTTCTCACAAAAAGGAATTCATGTTACTTTTTGTATAAGCTTAGTTTCGTCCAAGAAATTTAGTTAATATACAATTTTGTCTAAAAAGTTTAGCTAATTGAAAGATGCATATTACTTTTCTTACCAAACATTATGTGGCGGAAGGATGTTTGAGAGCATGGAAGGTAATTAGAAACTTTTTGTCAAATCAATTTCGAGATTTTATAGGTGCCATTTACTACTTTGCAAACTTATTTCCATCGTTCACGAGTTCTAATGGCAAAAATAATGAATGATAATGATGTACCGCCAGAACAAATCCAGATCCCCGTATCTGTAAATTTTGACTTTTTCTAGTTTGAATCAAATTCATATTTTTATGTAAATTCTGAGATTATAAATCCGTCTAATATGCTGAGTCTTCAGGTTTCATGCAAATTTCTTCTTGAATTTCTTGAAAGTATTACATCTTAAAAGATAAATACTAAAATTTTCAGGAACTCAACCACATTTTCCACGGATTTTTCTGAGAATGCAAGTTTTTTATCGGGAATACTGGCTTAGATCTGTATAAGTCTAGGCAGGTTGTGTAAAATATAGGTAGTATCGCTTCATAACTCTATTACAATGTCGCTTCATAACTCATCTAATTCTCGACATTTTCGAAACCGAATTTTAGCTTACCTTTTCTTCGTTCGATATGGGTAACGCGCTCGCAGAAAACCAGTCTCTGATAAAATCAAAAAAATCAGAGCGATTGAATTCGTTGATGGATGTTCTTGTGGCTAAAGTAATGAAAAGTGATGTCCGGATTAACGGTAGTCATTAATTAAGGAATTACAAATATATATATGATGTAAAAGTTATGATGCAGATGAATGTGTCGGTGCAAGTTAACTACTGAAATTGAAATTACCTTCTATTTATCATAGTATTTTAATTAATCAAATGACTTTAAATAACGACAGAGGATTCCGCAGCCTCGTCATGGAATACTACTTTAAATATGTTTTGGAGTTATAAATTTGCAGAAAGTTTGCCACCCCGAGATTTTGCATCTCAACAACTAGGTTCCAGTAAAAGAAAGCCAAAAAAGGTTCACCGATTAATGCCAGCATCAACAACGAAAAATAAAAGCTTAGAAGATTTTGAGTCGTCAGATTGGTTCAGTGATCAGTCACAGGTACTTTTTTAAAGCCTTTTAGAATTTTTATTTTATTTATAGTTTTAGTTAGGCACCCAGTTCTATATTAAAATAATTCTTTCGGGTCCTAAAAACACTGCCTTATGAATTTTCGATTTTTAATTTCTTCCTTTTTCTATATTTTCCTGAAGGATATGTTCCATGTAATGCAGAATAGTTCTGCTGAAAGTATTACTGCCGAATCGAATGAAGTAATAGCGAAGTATAGTAAGGAAGAAGTGATAGCAATGATTAGTTCTGTAATATCGGATTCTTCTCATGATTAAAATACCAAAAAATCAGTGAGAGGAATAATTAGCGGAGTACTGAACAAATCGCTGAATATTGATGTAAATTACCAAGCTTCATTGTTTATTAGTTTTTCTATCCTCAGTAACAAATGTCCATTCTCAAAAATGAATTTTGTTATAGGTCTTCCCCGATGTCACTTGTTTGCAGGAAATGTGTAATTCTTTTTTAAAATCAGATCCTGCTTTCGCAGAGTTTAATATTTGTCGAGTTAAACAAATTCTGGAGCCGGACGGAATACTGCGTAAAAGTGCGTTTTAAATTACCATCATTTACCTTGGCTGATTGATTTAGTATTATTATATTGTCTAACCTTCTGCATGTCTTACCAAGTTCGAATCCTTTATGCCTGAGGATTCTGATTTTAAATTTCTGTGATTATACCGAGCAGTTTTAGATAAAACTGATTTCAAGAAGGCTAATGAAAACAAGGGTCACGCAGTGCGTTTATCGTCTGAGTCGCAAAACTACGAATGTTTGGATAAAATAGAAAAGTGCATAAATGACGTTTGTCGTTTTTCGCATTACCCATCTTTGCAGCGGGAAGCGTTGCATAAAGCTGTTGCAATGTTAGTATTATTTATTAGTAATAAAGAAGCAGTCTTTAGGAAACTATCATAGAATTTCATACTTGAGAGGTAATTAAGTTTAACCCAAATTTTCATTTAGGGTGATTCACGGCGAATATAGTGTTACTGCAGCAGCGAGTATTATGCAATTGCCTACATCAACGGTGCATTCTTATGTGCGTCGTGCACGAATTGCATTAGTGGCCTTTTTGCAAAAAACTGGTTAGTTCAATTTTTCAATCGGAAGGTGTTGGAATTAAGACAAGATTTAACGTAGTGTGCGAATTTAAAGTAAGTGTTTTTTGTATTAGATCAAGAGTGACCGTAAAGTTTCCTCAACTGACTAGTTGCTATTAGTTTTTTTTAAGATTTAGTGTTCATTCCATAAAATTTTATTGTAATTAGGAAAACTTTATTTTTAATTACAGTTGGCAAAATTTGACTACTCTATTATCAATAATTTGAATTTTTAATTCAGAAAAAATTTCCGATTTTATATCTTGAAATATTTTCATAGGCTAGGTTATAATATTTTTGATCGCTCTAGCACAAAAATTTTTCTTTGTTATGATGTGAGTTGCTGGATTTAGAAATATTGGATAATGAAATAATAGCTGATGAATGTATTCTACGCAGTAATCCTGTTTCGAAGGAAGTTGCGTTGGATATCTCAGATCTTATGAATGTTTCAACTCACGACCTTAATGGACAACAAAATTTGCGCGATGCACTTTTTGAAGTTTGATTTAATTTCTATCTTTATTGCCTGGTATCAGACCTTGTTAAAAGACGGTACAGTGGCTGAAAAAGTAATTATGCTTGCATGGTTGAAGTGTTTTCAACATCGCAAGTTCAGCAAGCCTTAATTGATAATATTGGTATTTAACCATCAAGAATAATTCTGATGATTAGATACCAATATTATCAATTATATAATCCAAATAGGAAGAATTTGTACGTTTGTAATATCATATTATTGTGGGGTTGTCAAAGCCGCATCTGTAAATTTATGCTCACAGTGATGAATTGTTTTCAAAAATATTTAAATTCGTAATGTTTTCGTTTGTTTTAATGCCAATTTGTTTGACTTTTTAATTGCGACACTGATTTATGTGAAACAATTTCTTATCTTTGAAGGTTTTGACGAAAGGTGTTCCAGTCACAGAAGTTTCTAGTGATATAGCACATAGTGCGTTTCAATCATATATTACGAAAGCTCGCGTGCCTCTCGGACAATGGCCTTATCCAACATCATCTAACATCGGGGTTATACTTCGTAGTATAAAAAAAAGAAACTTCGTTTTCTGAAATCTTAAGTAGAATAATTTTGAATAGATTAACGTGTTATTGTAGATGATGATAGCTTTTAAATCAGTATTTTGCTCTTTCCCATACATAAAGTTTGGTTGAGTTAAGACTTATTTCAGGAAATATCAACCGATCTGGACGCAAAATTGCCAAATGATAATGCAGATGAAGAGAATGCTAACAAAATGTTTACAAACACCGAACCCTTACCGGGAAATACTTCTGCCGGTTTTACACGTGAGACTTATAGTAATTTCCGGATCCAAGTGTTTCCGAACAAGTATTGTGAAAAGTTTCCCGAAATCATCAGCAGTTATTTCAAATTTTGAAGATAAAAAGTTGTGCTTTACAAAATTTATGGGGCTACAATAATTCTTAAAAAATGAATTTGGTTTACACCACAGTTATAATACTCCTTAGTTATAATACTCCTGCGCAATAGTAATTGTTATTAGAAACATAACCTTTAAAAAGTAGTGACAAGTTATTATACTTCAGTATATGTGAGCTGTTGTAAGATTTTAGTTTCCGCTATTGCCCATCCAAACATAACAAAAGATCTTTTAAAACACGAAAGACAATTTGGTGCCAGAAATCTGTTAACGAAAGCAGGCGAATCAACCAATAACAGTCCTCAAACTGAAAGTTCGCTAAATAGCTCAATTTTTGGTCTCAATAGCAGTAGTGACCAATTTGATAATGGTTGGCTTTTTTTATTTTTTTGTGTGAGGTATATGTTGTTGTTGAATTTTTTATGTGAGTAAAGTTTAGAAAGGTAAAGTTTAAGTTTAAGATTAGGAAAATGAAAGTAAATTAATCCCATATGTAGTATTACGATTGGATCATTGTGATCCAATGATAATACTATATACGGGATTAATTTAAAACTGTTGGATTTCCAGGTAGCTATATCCAATCAAACATATCAAAAAATCGACCTAGACGCAGAAAGAAAATTGTGAATATGAATGCCACAAGTCCTGGAGAAAGGGAATGGTTAACAAGGAATGGTTCTGTTCTGTATACTGAAAGTGGAAGTGACTACAGCGATGACGAATTTGACGGCTGTTAGTTTTTACAAAATCTAAAATTTGACGTTAGTGTTTCCTGGCCACGTCTTTTATACTTTATAACCATTTTTAATACTGATGTACATTTAATAATTTTTTAGTACCGCGTTCGATTCGAGGCGTAATAAAACTTCTCTCCGATACGAAGTCGAATAGAAGAGTGCAGGGATATACTGGAACGCCAGAAAACTTGACTGTCAAAATAGACAAGGCAATTTTTGTAATTTTAAATAATATGAACAAAAGTTTTTATTAATAACGAAATCTTGCAATCTTGTGAACTCATTTTTGAATTTTAACGTAAAAAATTTCCTTAGGTCTTGCGTCAATATCGTTTTCGCGGTGATCGGGAAAAAATGCGCAATGCGATTTTCGAAGTCTTATATCAATCAAAAACTCTTAGTGAAGCTTCTAAAATGAATAATTTGGCTCCAACAACATTAAATACATATGTTCGCCTGGTAAAAATGCTCATCAACACAGAGAAAACTGTAAGCTTGCTGTTTATTTTTTTTCGAAAATTTCGAAGATATTGGTATTTTTCAAATATTTTTTAACATTTTCCTGATTTTGAATCTATTGCTTTTTGAACGTGACTGTTATTATTTTTGTCTTTTTATATCTTTGTAAAATATAAGTTGGTTTACTTTTGAGAAATTGTTTTTTTCTTCCTCTGAAATTTTCCCTACTTTCAAGTATATGTTTTGCAATAACACTTAAGTGAATTACAGAAGGAAGAATGCTCCATCGAATCAGCTGAAAAGGTATATTACTTATGCATGGGAATTTTATGATTTTGGTACATTCTTTTGATTTTTCTAAAATGTTCGTTTATTTCTAATATACAGGAGTTCCTCATATGGATAATTTTTTATTGTTCTGTAAAGATTTTATAGATTTTAAACCCATATTTTTGTAGATATGAAAAACGAACTGTTTAGGATCGATTTATGTTATTTATATTTATGCCTTCCAAATCAGTAAATGCAAACACATTATGTGTGTATTTACTAGCTTGAGGGTCACGAAAGGAAGACTTATCACAATTTCATTATATTAAAATAGAGTTACATCCTCAAATGTCTAACATTTCGGCATTTTGTCAGCTGAATCATCAAACAATAAGCATTTCGAGCAATTGACGGAAAAAGTTAACTTAGGTTTCAAGTTGTTTGCTGGCTTTATTCATTTCTTGTAGATTTTAAAAAATTCTACAAAAAAACCATCAGCTGAATCATCAGACATTTTAGGCTAGTGTTACATAACTATATTTTCTATTACTTATTTCCGATTTTTTAAAATCTAGATGTAGGAACGCTCTGATGAGAGAATAATTTATTTTTTGTTCACAAATTGGGAATACAAAAGCTGTACTGTTGCTGTTATCCAAATGATCACAATACTTGCTTTTTTCTGAGCTAGAATATAACATTTATTGCAGTCGTTGAGGAAGGTCAATTTGACGAAAAGTACGGTATTTTACAGTTGCTTGTATTGTAGAAATGAAGTTATCGTTATATTGAAGGAGACCTATCAGGTCATGGGTCTCAAGAAACCTCAGTAGTAGTGGTATCAGAATATTGCCGATGTGCATATTGATTTCCACTTAGTTTTCTTCTAATATAGATATTACTCATATCTGAATTCTCGAGAAAAATGCTTTTGTGAATAGAAATTTTTCTTTATCGACAATTTTAGCAAGAACTTCCGATGGAACCTTCTAGCTCAGCAGAAGACACAAAGATTTATCGTGAACTTTTTGTTCAAAATGTTGATGTCATGATGTTACACACAAAACCGATAATAAACAATGCGGAGAGTTTTTACAAAGTGCTAATTACTTACCTTATCGAACAACAGTATCGACGATCAGAGGAAGCCCAACGAGTATGACATGCTGATCAAATGTCCAATTTTTTACGTAGTTTTGGATTATATATTTATAATTTGCTTAATTTAAGCTTATCTTTTTTGCTTGCAGATTGCGCTTAAGTGACATAGCGTTCTTTGTGCAAGTTACTCGCTTTATTTATATTTTTAACAGATTTCATTTATCTAAATTTTTCTTTTTTAATATATATAAGCGGTAAATGTAAGCTTTGAAATTTCTAGGACTTTTTTCATCTACAAATCAGCAATTTCAGAAGATGTGTGCTAATTTGGAATATGTATTACTTGACGGCTTATCGGTTACTGAAGCTTTGAAGGTTAACAAAGGCCCGTCAGAACATGTTTTACAAGTAATTTTTTTTCAAATTCAGCTGAAAATCATTAAGGCTGCTGCTTTTTTGGTTGATATAACGGTGTTTATTATACGTAGAGCTGAGTTTATACAGAAAAGGTAGAGAACTAAAGTGTTGCATGTAAATTAGCTTTGATTTGAGACGCTTAAAGATTTTAAAAATAAACAATGTTGGACAGTAGTGTTTTCGCTTTTGGAAAAGACTTTCTTGTATTCGTTGCCTGTTTTTTACTGCCTTCTTTCATGTGTATATAAACAATGGCTGTCTGACAGTGACAAAAATGTTTTTTAGCACCAATTTTGTGTAGAAAAGATGATCTGGATCTTTATTGTTAGGTAGAGAATTCACAGTTTTCGAAAAAGTCATACAAACTTCTTATTTCTCTGGTTCTCATTTTGAATGCATCTACATCCAACCCTTTTTAACTATCTCCTACTAAAACTATTTTGTAATGAAAAGTTTCTCGCTTTATGTAGGAATGTTGTGGATTTAACAGTGGTTGCAATAGGCATATAGTAGTGTTATGGGCTTCCCATTTCTCAATTTTCCTGAAAAATCGCATTTTTTTCTGCTAACTTGCTTCTATAATTTCAAGTACATGCTTACACTTTTTGAGACTCTAATTTTTGAATATAGATAGCTCTTCTATGGCTACACTGACAATAGTGAACGGCCGCCGATAGGTTGCCCTTCATATAAGTTTTGTTATATTCCTCTAATTTTACCATTTAATTGCTCCATTATTCCGAGAATCATCAAATTCATCGCCATAAACTTGGTGTAGAAAGCAAATAAGGGTGTTGTTAGTAGTGATTGTTACTAAATATGGCTCCCGGAAATTTTTTAAAACTTCTACCTGCCTTTATTTATAGTATCAGATTTTACTAAACTATTGCCCTATTGTTTTTTCTAGCCTCATTTTGACCTTCCATTCATCATTTCTATTTTGTGGAAATTTTTAAAGTCCCAGATGTGGAAATTTTTAAAACCATTTATTAATTATTGATAGTAAAGTAACAGGTTTGGATGACTTAGTAAATCACAAAGCTTAAAGACTACTTTTAGTGGCTATTTTTTTATAGGTTTATTTAAGTCGATGTCGTGAAGTTAATAAGTGCATAAAGACGGAATTTCCGAATTTTAAATTAAGTGTCGCGCAGGCAGTAAATAAGGGTTGCGCGAATGGCAAACAAGATGAAGGTTTGTTTTTTTATCTAGTTTCCTAATTTACTGAATTTATATTTTGAAAATTTTTAGGTCTGTACTGTCTTTTTAGTTTGCATTTTTATCGATCTTTGTCGTATTGCTAAATATAGTGTTGATATTCTTATGCCAGTTAGAACACTGCTCTGTTCAGACTGTGTTTCAGTAGCGCATAGTGACACAAGTGAAGTTATTAAAAACAGCTCCATGAAGCATTTCAGCAAACAAGTTCAGGTTTGTTTTATTATTTTTTTTTTTGCATTTTACGAATTTTTTCAAAGTTCAAGCGGTTTCGTATAAATTTTATTGACCTTAATGATCAAATTATATATACTTGATTTGTTATGCTTTTTTGCTACATTCATTTCCTTATTCATTTCATTGTGTCTCGTTATTATTCATACGTTATTTATATCACGTATTATGAACGAAAACTTATTTGTAGAAGGAAAGCAAAGAATCATCGACTACCGGATGGACTATTGGAAGTTTGGAACATCTTAACTTGATTTTTTCTGAAGATTTTTACAAGGCATTGTATGATTATTTAGAGTAAGTGATTTAATGATTATTGTGAGAGATACTGTATAGAAAATGATAATTGTTCAATTCCAGATATGTTTATACCATAATAAACTTATAAAGAGCTATTGACGAAAAATTGGTCTTATGATTCGCATTGTTAGTTTTTTTTTCCAGAAAGCTCAATGGCGTGAATTTTCCTATTGAAGATTCCCTTATTGTTGGACTGGCAAAAATGATTATTGATGAACTTCCAGTGAACGAGCAAATCTTTTTTGCGGACGCTGTTTGGGGTCAATGGTTGACAAATTACCGTAAGAAACATCCAGAATTTGATGAGTAAAAAGAATTGGTTGTGGACTTAAATTTTTATATGGCTTAAAAAATTAGTCTCCCGCTAGTAAAACAGTTACTTCATAATAAATTGATCCGTTGCCTTTTATAGCTATGTGTTAAAAATTGTACTGTTTAAACCAATGACAACAATCATACTTTCAATATCGACTGCTCTATTTCGTAATCGAAAAACCAGAGTAGCTCCGAAACATAAAATGCTTTCCTTTCCGCGAGCTTTTTTTTAATGATTAATTTTTTATGCCTTCAAAATTTTCTGGAATTTCATTATTTTTCAGAGACACTGTTAATGATTTGGGATTTCGTGCTTATTTTTTAAAATTTTTCAAAAATTTAGCGTAAGTAGATTCTGGTGGTTGTTCGAAGTCGTTACGGCTTATGAATTGTAGTCAAACTGCCATTTATTCGAATTCATTTGAAATGGAAGATCCTTAATGTATCACATCTTTTACAACATACCATCAAAAAAAATAAAATGGAAGTAGCTCACTCGTTTTTTGAATTCTTTCCCTGAATACTAAATTTTGTAAACTTTAACACTGCTCCTTGTAGTGCTGAACTGTAGCCTTTTTGGTAGTTTGAATGCTCTTTAACGAAAAATTACATGCGTACGGTGCATCTGACCCGCATGATATTTTACTTTACTTTTATCCAGTTTGCTTTCAGTTAGATACAATATAGAATTCAGTAGAGAAACATTTGTATTTAACGATATTCGTTCTGAAAATTTGATTCAAATGGTTTTTAAATGCTCCTCTAGATTCGTTAGTTTTCTTATGAAATTTTTCAAATGGTATCACTTCACGACACAGCACATGTTTCTTCAGATTGATTGATATCGATTGCCCACTGATCTCGTTTCAAAGACATGTCTTATTGCTTTGATATTTCGTCCTTGTTTTCCTCATGAAGCGATTGATCTTTTACGTATTTTCAGTCTTTCTGCAAAAGAAATCATGTTACTTGTACTTGTTGAGTTTAATGATTTCCATTTTCCATCGCTGTTCATGCATCACCTCAAATCTGTTTAAGTTTTGGTGTATTCCGGTTTGTTGTTTTGTTGCTTTTTTATTCAACTTCAGTCATACAATAAATAATTCAGTTAATGATGTTTAACGAATAATGGAATCAAAATTATTTCCTCAAATTTTTTGAAACTGGTGTCACATGTCTTACAAAAATTGTATCATAAGTCCAAGCACGAATAAAGTTGTTTATTCCAAATACAGTTTATTTTTCTGCACTGCTTCCTTGTAACGATCGCGGAAGAATTAAATTTGTAGAAAGCTATTTTGAAGCACCGCAGGATTTAGATCAGCAGTAAGTAAACTATCGCAAAGATAGAGTATTAATGTCAATGAAAACAAGCTGTTCAATCCTAAGATACAGAGAATTCTTTGTTCTCCATTTTTTTTCTACCGGCAGTCTACAGAATATTTCTTGCTAGTCGATAGTTCCACGCCTGGCCATCCTTTAGGCTATATGCGTAAATATCAAAGTCAAGGCAAAATTACCAAACATATCCGATTTGTTACGGCGCTAATATTATACCTGAGGAAAAGCTCTAACCACATATGCGCAATAAGATAAAGATTGTGTCAATTTTATCCTTTGCACCCACATTTTAAAAGTCATTTACCTGTTCTACAAATTCTATTTGGTTCTGCTGATCCGTGAACATAGTCGGATTGGATAATTCGCATTCAGCTTTATTTTATTAGCGTCTTTGTCACTAAATTGAAGACAAAAAGACATTATCCAAGCTTGCAACACTAAAAACAAAGACATTGTAATTCCACGGACTTAGGAACATCAGGATCATTAGTTAAATCCTATACTGTGCTATTGTATAGGACTGCTAAATTTTTAGCATATCCGGTAACTTTTTCCAATTCCAAATCTGCAAATCCACAACAAATGTGGATTGTCAAGACAGCCAAACCTGCTGACTGTCAGTGATTTGTCAGTTTCCGATAGTTAAAAATTTTCCATTTTCTAAGAAACGTAGAAACAAAATCGGAAAGTAGTTCGACATTTCAAACTAATTGAAATATTAAATATCAGACCATCTAAATCCCATGATTGTATAAATTCTTTGAAAAGTAAAATTCACCTCAAATTTTTTTCCAGCAAAATGCATCACTGCATTTTTGACCATAATAACCTATCGAAACAAGTAAAACTTAGCAAAGTACCATATGACAATTCAGTCCTCCAAGTATTTCATACATAAATTTAAATTTTGTTTGGAATCCATTGTCGTATTTATTCTCATTGTAAGCAGGATAACAAAAAAAGAAAAAGTAATTTTGAGTAATCAATTTGTGCTATAAATCCGCAAGCCTTTGATATTATTTTAACTTCGAAAATTTCTAAAATTCATGCACACTGCAAAATAAACTTTCAGGGAAATTATAGCAAGACACAAAGTAAAACTTTTCCGATCAATAAGATCCTCATTTTATTTCAGTGTAAACAAAAATGAATTATATTTCTGGCAATTAATCTCTAATCGCAAACAAGAAATAAAGCGAGAATGAATTCTTCCCGCGAAGTATTATGTCAAATATTCACTTCAATTTAATTTTAAACAAAATTTTAACAAAAAGGAATAATGTTACGAGGTCGTTAAACTTTTCGCCCAATGATAGCTTCCTTTTTTTAGTCATTTAATTTTTAATTAATTTGACATCAACTCATTGCTATTATACAATAAAATATAACGAGTTATCACAAATAATAACAAAATAAACGAAACTTGTCAGCCTCAATCAAAAAATATGGGAAATACATGAAAAGCACAGTTACTTACTAATTATATAACAGTTATTTTTGCTATAGTAAATAAGCGAATTCGAAAAATTCCAAATTTTCTGCAAATAAATTTAATAAAATATTAATGAAAGTATAAAATTAACAAATATAATAATTGTGATGGGAGATAAGAGAGCAAAACTGTGCCTTAAATATAACATGTTGCTGATAATGACCAACAACATATGAACTGGAGAAACAATTAATTATCAATATCTATTTAGCAGTAAAAAGCTCTCCGAGCTAAAATGATTTATTTCTGATATGATTCAGAATTCATTGCACCATTTAATTTATAGAATCCAATATAGAATTCAAAATTTACATGGCTTTAAAATACTTTAAAACTTCTTCAATGACTTGAAATATGGCGATTAATTTTCCATTGCATATACTTTGCAAACTCAAGTTTACAAATATGGGCTTTGGAAAAAAGTTTCTCTGTTTATTTAACTGGCTAAAGAAGCCTACATTACTTAAATGAATCAGAAGCGTGTTAAAATAATGAAGTGCATGAAGTTAGATTGAAAGTGAACAATCTATGGCATTGTAAATATATGATTAATTACATACAAATAAAAAATGCTTGTAGAATGCATTTTTATCGCCAATCTAAATAAAATGTCAAGTTTTCTGCACGTAAGGAAAAACAAGTGTGGACTCAATTAAATTCCAAACAATTTTAGAAGTAAGACTTTTATTAGGTCGATTTTGCCGATCAATAAGATCGATTCCTGGTATGTCCGATACTGGTACGATTTCCAGCGAATAAAAAAAATGATAAATACGTACATGCATTAACAAACACAATCGCATCAATTGGTATCGAATATTTTCATTAGATTTTAACAGTTTTCTAAACGGCCAATTTTCCAAACAAAGCTTCGTTTCAATCAAATTAACTTTAATTTACTCGAAACCTAGAAATGCATCTCCCCATTAAAGAAGTGGACCGATTAATTTGAAGTAGAAAATCTTTCGTTACATCTTTTCAATTTCTTTCTTTGAGTGCGAATTTATATTCTTTTCAATTCATTATCAGAACTTTTAAAAATATTAGTTCTATACATTTAGAAAGTGGTCAATAAAAATTGTTCTAACTATCAAAAACTGCTATTCTAACATTCAAAATCTCGTATAAATTTGATATTTGAAACATACATAACTCTATGTGATATCAATTTCCCGCCTCAAATTACAGTCAAGAAAATGTTCTTATCTTTGGTTATCCATTATTTTTCACACACAAATTTGTTCCGATAGCTTATACAAAAATTCTACAACAAAAGTAGTAAAATCATGCATGGCTAACACTTAAACTTTAAAATTTAATAAATTAAGGTAAGCATAACTCGCAAATGCCCTTCCATTTCGCCATCTATCCACCCAAGGGTGATGTACAATGATGCAAATGAAAATCAGCAACTAATTTAGTCCTGACATGAAGCAATTTTACTACTTTGTCATTCAACCCACCGGTCAGCTCTCATGCATGATCTAAATGTTTTTACATATGATATTGATAAGAGTACTTTCACGGCACGCTGATGTTATCATTTATTTCATCATTTTCTTAGAGCATTATCAACTGCCTTTAAAGACAAAAGGTCAAGTGCTGCACAATTATTAACTCAGAAATCAGTCAATAATGCTACTCTTCAGCATGTGATAAGAAAGTAATAATAAAGAACAATGTATGTTGGCAACATTAGTGTGTTAGTTTGCGATGCAATGCAGCTGTGATTACCACTAATTAGCATGGTAGTATCGAAGTCCTACACCCGATATTCTGTCATAAGGAGGGAAAAAGATCAGATAGCCATCTAAGAATTGTAAGATACAGATAAAATTGGATTCGGTAAGCAAATATATATTTATAGCAAAACTGATAAAATTAGTATAATTCGAGAGTAGACACTGAAAACGAACAATCTCACCCATAGATATACCATCATTACCAATCTACGACGTGTCTTTTATAAAAACTTGTAAAAATAGAAAAGAGAAAAAAAATTAAGAACTCTGCAAACTGATCAAAAAGAGGTAAAGAATAGCATTAAAGTAAAAAGTGTTCATATGGTCTACATAAAAAAATTATTATTCAGGATACTTGTTTGATTGCAAATTGTCAGAAATTTTTCAAACAAAAAAAATCAAAAAATGAAGTGAGCAACGAACCTAAACATAAGCTTGAGAAAACTTGTAAGGAATATATTTGAACAAACGTTATCGATTCTGTAGTGCTAACGATTGAAAAAAAATAAAACACATTTCGAAGAAGAAATAAGATTATTTGGAAAAATAATAATAGTCCAAAACAAGTAAAATTCCAAAGAAAAGCATTGTTCCTGTTTAATTTCCTAGTGAGAAAATTTATTGGAAAAATAGAAATTTTCAAAAACTCGCAAAAATATCCGAAAATGATACTGGTGATTTGATACGGTATGAAGCAGTAAGTGACTAGAAAAAACTAGAAGTATCTGAATTCTCCTCGTTTGCCTTGTCGTTGTTTGATGTATTCCGGTGCATCGTCACTCATAACACCCGGACGAGGACTTAATGATAAAGATGCTCCACGATGCGATATCGCATTTCCCTGCGATGACATGCGATCCTGTAAATATACAATTAAACCTTCAAAAAAAGAAGCAACAGTTATGTTTAGCTTTACAAATTCGCATTTCTCTCTGATATACAAATTTCATATTCGAAACGGCTTTTGGATTCTTCCAAACAATTATTTGAAAAAAAAAAACTTTTAAGTATTTTAGAAAATACGAAATATTATAAATAAAGACAGATTGCGGCATGTATACTTACCACATGAAGCGTCGGGTCCTGAGGTGGTAACGACTGAGGAGAACTACGATCCACGCTTACAACAGACAGTATGGTATGTGGGACATAACCAATACGGTGATGAACATTTGTGCATTCCCACCAATTTTTATTATCGTTTAAGACCTATAACCACATTTTTATTTAGCTTTCAGTTCCAAAAACTTCTACAGTGAATAAGTAGCAGTTCTAAAAATTTGATTTCACATATAAAAATGCCGAATTCAAGTGCCACAACAATCAATAATGGGAATCTTTACACTTTTTTAACTCACCTCAAGAAATTCACCCTGACTGACAGTTAATTCCTTCGGATTTTGTGCAACTCGAGTATGTGTAACTTGTACGAGTTTGGCATGACGAGCTATAATATCATCTAGAAAAGCTCGTTGCCGTGGACTCTGCTCTTGCAAAATCGGTCCAAATGACGGAGTTATATGCTGCTGTTCATTGTCGTTAAACTGAGACTGATAAAGCGGCCGTCGTGATATGGCTGGTGATGGCTGACGTGATGTCCTGCAGTTTCTTCTCAATAACCGAATTATCACATTCATTGCCAAGACGACGATCAGGTATAATGAATGTATAAATGAATAAATGGGCAATAAATGAAGAAATATATAATTTTAAACAAATTTACTCATTCTGCCTTGTCGTGTAACTGCTACCCACTGATCTCTGTTCGGCTTCTTGTGCCATCATTTCCTTTTCAGCTGCTAAGCGCTGTTTTTCCTGTCTGGAAACATACCAGATTCAATTTACTGAGATATCATTATCATTTTCCATTCCATGAGAAGACAATGGAAGAATAACTCTTATAGATATCATTGTCCAGTTAATTGATTCTTCTCCACAGGTCTTATAAACAACAAATAATATAGTATGATAATCCTTACCGCCTTCCTTTCAGCACAAACACATTTCTGCCCCAACCTGAGAAAAGTATAGTCTCAATGTTACTATTCTATTAAAATGTTTTGATGAAATTTCATCTATGTACCTCCCTTCTATCATTTATCCTTTTATTATGTTTTTGTTAGCTGTTGCTTGTAAAACATACAGAATTCTGCGCTCATCTTCAATAAGTCGTCGTTCACGCTCCGCAATTTTTTCTCTTTCAAAATCTAGACGCTCCTTTTCCAAAGACATATGATCCAGAT